CAAAACAATGAGGCAATACACACATCAGCCCATCCATAGGTTGAGTCCACACACACACACACAAATACGCACATGCATATACAATCAGAATACGGCAGGCAGCCGTTAGGGGAATACCCATGTGAAGAAGAGGAATATTACAACAGCAGAGATGTATTCCTACCCAACACCATTGGTTCTCACTCTCCATTACTTATTCCATTTCCAATGGAAAGGAAACCACATACACATACACACACAAACGGCAAAATGTCCAGTCAAATAACACCGTCAAGAAGTAACAGGGGGAATGCTGGCAAACCATGATGAAAGATAATCGGGGCAGTTCAAGTAGAGAAACATATGGGACTCTGCACTCCACTGTCCCATTCCCCAACCAGTGCTCAGTGTTCACCAAATGTATACCGTGGTACACACAACACACTGTAGACCTCTCCAGAATGAGTCAGTTCTCGGAGAGAACACAGCAATCAAAACAAACCCCTTAAACCATATAAATGTTCATGTACAGTGTCTATTCAACTATTTTGAATCAGCGTACATAATGGTAAGAAAAACAAAAAAAAAAGGAAGAAAAAAACACATGCCAACAAAGGCACCAAGTAACGAAAACAGATTATTAGGACATCATAACAACGGTACATTCATGAACAACATTCTCCCTAGGGAAAAGAAAAAAAACATCCATACTGATGATATTACCCCAATAAAGAAACGATTAGACCAAATCCCATAGTGAACCCCCACAAAAAAAAAAAAACACACACACACACAATAGAAACTGAATAGTAATTTAAAAAACAATCCCACAGTGAAAACCCCCACACACAAAACAGAAACAGAATTAAAACAAGAACACACAATAGATTGCTTGCAAAAATAAAAATAAAAAATCTTTTTTCACCTCACAAGAAAAAAAAAAACTTATTTTTAATATCATCCCATCGAATCTTTACCCAGTCATACATCATTCTCACCCAGTGCGGCCCTCAATGTGCTCGCTTGCTCCTCTGTTATATCCGCACTCTGCAAAAGGTGAGGTCGACAAATCAAGCATCGTGTGTGGGCAAAAAAAGTGGCGTTAGGAGTTAATCCCTGGACTCCAGAGATTGTAGCAAACAGTTAATTTCCAAAAAAAAAGAAAAGAAAAGAATTCCATGGTGCAGAGCACTAGGGAAAAACAGCAAGAAAAAAAAGAGAAAACAATTAAAAAGAAAAGGGTCCACACTATGGACAGCAATTTTTTTTTTTTTTATTGATGAAAAGAAGCCCAATTAGAAATTCTATTCACGTGGTTGCACACACATTTATGGGAAAACTGTTGCAAGAGCCCACAATCCCAAAACAAGCATTGGTAATACAGATTCATAGATACGAACAGTACCATCAATAGTTTTATTTTTGTGGGCATTAACAGTATTGTTGATCATTAAATGATTTGTCTTCTGCAAAAGGTCTTGCGTTGTGTTCGTACTGGAAACCGGCACCGGAGTTGATGAAAAAGTTCTCTTTTCTGTTGCATTTTGTTCATGCTGTTGATTCTCTTGAGTTTCATAAGTCTCAGTAACTGGCGACTGACTTTCTTGTTGAGGCGCAGATTCAGCCGCAGATTCAGAGAGAGCCGCAGGAAGATCAACAGTAGCTTCCGTTCGGATTGAAGTGTCATTGTTTTGTGAAGTTGTGTTTTGATGTTGTATTTTTACTTCCCTTACCATGGTATGAGTATCATTATTGCTCTGTTTGAATAACTCCTCGGCCATAGTCTTCGTAACGGATTGTGGTAACGAAGTGTTTACCTTGTTCCCGAACAGCGCATCAATCTCAATATTTTTCAGCACACGGTTGTATAGCATGACGTCTGTTACTGTCATGTGAGTGCCGTCGACAGTCTCTCTGTACTCACCAAAGTAAAAATGGGATATTTCTTCCTTCTCTGCGATTTTTAAGTCAGCTCTCTCGTCTATAAGAATACCGTCAATATACACAGAGCCTTTTCCTCCATCAAATGTCAATACAACTGAATATGTTTCGTTTTCTTTCCATTTACTTGTTAAAGCCTTGACAAAACTCTTGCTTATAGTGCTCCACGTTTTGTTTTTATTGTACGACACTCCCAAAAGAATTTCTTTTTTGGATTTATTCAGCCTCACACCCAACAAAGGTCGACTTTCGGTGGGGAACTCGTGGATAGTTACCGTCGCCACAAGAGTAAATGCATAGTTTGTAAAGTGATACTGTCTTGCTGCTCTATTTGTGCTCACAGGCCATATTGCTCCTGCATCGGCACCTTTGAAGATTAAACCTTTGAATCCATTTCTTGGAATGGCCCCCTTTACAGTTGCATCCACGCAGAGGTATTCATCCTTCCATTTATCACCATCGATGTTTCCAGACAAATAGCCCACCAATCCAGTAGTTGGAATACGAGAGTCACAAGTAGCACAAGTTTTTTCATCCTTATGGCAGTGACATTTCGACACGAGGGTGTCCTGGTTGGTCCAGGTAGATAAAACAATCTTTATCTTTTTCATAGCGACCGTCAAATTCACAAAAAGAACCTTGTGGTTATCTTCCTCTTTATGACTCTCATACAGACAGTACAGTTTGTCATCCTTGAACAATAAAGTGCTGGTTGTCTCTTTCTGAGCTTTAGATATCAAACCAACATGATAAATGTGTGTGTTATCAGTGAGCCACAGATGAAGTTCGTTGCCCGCTTCAGTTTCCACAGACTGCGTAAAGAGAATGACACTCTTATTATCAATTGTTGCCGTAATAAAGTTGTTTTGACTTCCACGACCAGGTGGTATAGGGGAGTTGGTCCACACACGAGAGAGTGTACTGGTAGACTCTTTCCAATTCTTTCCCAAATTGGTGGACTCGTACACTCTGTAATAACCGCTGTCATGCTGAGCAATCATCATTAACTTACCATTTTCCCACTCAACAACAGCAGGATTATAAATACTCCTTTCAGACACGACTCCATCAAGCTTCCAAACTCTTTCATCGGGTTTAAAATACATAACTCCTGCGGCAGTCCGGTTGTATCTTGAAAGCAGTTGAACTGGAAACACAAGTGTAGTGCTGTTCATTTTTAAAATTGGTGAACTTGTGTTACCAACAAATTGTATAAAGTCCTCGTGGTTCTGCTGAAAAGGAAATGAAGCAAGTACAGACGCAAATCCCATAGTATACCCTTTACTACTGCTTTTTTCAGGTTTCACCTCCATAATGCGTAGAATAGAATCCTTTTTCTCCGAGGTCGTAGAGAGAATATATGGAGAATCCTTCACGGTTGGAGTATTATTGCTTTCCACAAGAACAAACGCAGGATAATAGTCTTTCATATCCGGTGAAGAAACAAAATCTTTACTGTATCGGTTGAAATGAAGAGGTTCAATTCTTTCATACTCTTCATTCCATTTGGTTCCATTATCACTGCTCTTTCGTCTCTGAAAGTCAACAATCTCATACTGATTATTTGATAAACCGGGTTGTACAGTAGCACTGGCCATTGCCACCAATTCCCCATTCACTTGCATAAGATAGGGTGTGTAAAATTTACGGGGTGGGGTTTCTGGCGTCGGAGGAGTCCAATACGACAAAAACCTCGAATGGAATCGGTTTCTTGTCGATGGAGCTGACGTTACCTGTTTTTCGGCAAATAGAATGGTGGCCCTTAATTGCTCAGGTTCGCCTTGAGCATACCCACTGATGCAGCCAAGCAACAAGATAGGCAATACAACAAACAGAGAGTGGTGCATGTTGTACTTCATGGTTACTCTTTCGTCCTTACTGTCTTCTCGTTCTTTTCGTCAGACCAAAGAGGTTATTGAATACCTGAAGTGAATACCAAAAAGTACTTGTGTTTGTATGTGTTGTGGCTGGTGATTCCTTTCAAAGCCTTCAACTGCAAAGTAGCGTTTGTAGCTTAGGCTTCTACTAACACGTCATGGAAATGATAAAGGAGAAAAAAAGAGAAACCAAAAAGAATTGTGTAATGAAAAATAAGAGAAGGAGAAATACATTCACCGTGATCAAGTCTAAACATGACACTGAAGAAACAACGTAAACACAATGCACAAATACAGTAAATCTCACTAAAAATAGGTAAAAAATAGTATATTATTCACAAAAAAAGATATGCAAACATGCTTTTATTATTATTATTTTTTTTTTTTGAGTGCTGTACATTTACACATCGTACATAGTTCATACAAGTTTCTCTCCGCCCTTTTTCTCTGAACCGCATCGAAGGTGAAGTTCATACAATTCAAGTATCTTATGTGAGTGAAGCAATTTGAAAAAGAAAAAAAAAAATACAACAACAAAACCACTACACTACAAAAATTATAGCCCACAAGAGAAAATAAAAGCAATCATCATCTTTAACTGGAACAAGTACACAAATAATAAAGTAATATTAGTAGTAAAACCCCATCATCCATCTGCTCTGCACTGAGTTCAAAAGAACACAAACACACACAAAAAAAGATTCTCTATCCAACCATGTAACTATTAGCAAAGAACCAAGATAGAAAGGTCATCTCCGACAGAAATAAAAAATAACAATAAAATAAAGAACTCAATATTACCTCTTTTCATTTGCAACCCAAAAAAGAAATGACGGAGAGAAAACACACGACGGGCGGGGATCGAACCCGCGATCTCTCGCGTGTGAGGCGAATGTCCTAACCACTAGACGACCATCGCTGTGGTCTGGACAAGGGGGGATACAGAAATAATCCGCAAACACTACGAAGAAGAAACCACAAACAGATATCCAAAAGTGTAGAGAGAATTAGAGATGAAAAAAAAATAAAATAATTATTAGAAATAACACCAATATACAAATAAATAAGGCGCTGATAAACTGTGAAAAAAAAAAAAAAAACAATCTTGAAGATACAAGAATCTTTAATTGAATTTGGGATGATCACAAGTTATCCTTTCAATGGCACCGCACTTAATCTATTGGTATTCTTTCTTTTTTTTACTTTCTGTCCTCTCTCTCCTTCCCTCCCTCTATCGCACTCTTAACTACTTCAGGTTCACTCTACCAATCTAAACGGTACTATCCTTCTGAAATCTACTGTTAAATATGACATGCGTTTCCCACTATTAACTCTTTGCATGCGATGACTCGGTTTTCTTTTTGATTGCATTTTACCGCAATAGGGGTCCAGATTCATCTCCAATGGGTTAATTTTTTCTATTCTTCATGTTTCTTTTTATTATTATTATTACTATTTCACCTACCCACATGGAAACTGTAAGTCTTGAAATGGGGAACCATGAGGCTTTTCTTCTTCTTCTTATTTTCTGTACAGTGAAAGAGGGACAAGGTAGCAATCAATTATCGCCTAATATCCAGGTGGCCTTGGGAGGTTCTGTATTCCTCTTGCAACAGAGGAGGCACCATCTATAGGAGTAATACCCCACAGACGGTGACGCCAGTAGCAGAAAACAAGGTACAAGACAATCACTATTGGACCTGCAACCGAGATGTTCGCTACCGTTAAGAGTTTCTTTACTTTAAATTTTTGATCTATGGGGACTTTTTCAAGTTTGTCCTCAAATATAGAGAGTTCCTCATTTCGTTCCTTCCAGCGACGATATGACCAACGGTTAATGGGATGGCTATCTTTACTCACTTCCCAGTAACCACGCTCACGGAGAACATCTTTCTTTAGCGTTTTGTTAAATGCGTAGAGACGGTCTGCATTAATTCTACCTACACCACCCTTTTTGACAAAAGTATTCATTATTATTATTATTACTACTATTATTACTATTTTTTTTTTCTTTGTACCTTCTTTGGTCAATCGCACATATCCAGTACATATACAGTGACATATATGTTTAGAAGAATATCAAGGAAAAAAAAAAAAACACACATGCAGCAACACAAAAAGAAAAAAAACAAAAACAATAACAAATAACTGTGGAAGAGATTCAAATAAGATAACTTTCATTCACATATTAATCTAACCTTCCTCTTCCTAACCCAAAGGTTTATCGTCATTTCTCATTCTGAGGATTTCACTAACCTTGTGAGATGAGATTTGCTTTGTAAGTGTCGCTCCCAAGCTCGCACAGCTATATGACGACGACAAACTCTACACATAACTTTCCCCAAAGTTTGTGGTTCTTTCAACTCATCTCTTGAAACATGACGAGGGGGAACTCGGCCATTGGCCAAGTTTCGAGGGTCCTCCATTCGATCATGTTTAGTTGGATAACCAGGGAAGTGTAGATTGATATATTCCTGGAATCGATTACCATGACGGGACTCATACAATTTCTTAAAAGATTCGTAGGACTCTGTAATAAATGTAACTTCTCCAGGTATTACACAACCCTGTGGATCACGCTCTTTTCGCCATTTTATTTTATATCTCTTACAGAGTTCATCTAAATCTTTCTGTTTTACAGGATCAAGTCGCATCTTGTCATGCGCATCACATTGATTTATATGCATTAAAGCACCACTAAGACGCTCAAATGGAGTCGCATCTAAACCAATGTATCCACCCTTGTGTACATCCAATGGAGGTACTCGTCCATGTTCCTCGAGGTATGTCTGAAGTGTGGATAAGCACTCTTCCCATGGATAAGGGCCTTGCATACCATAAGTTCGCCACAGTGGAAGTGATTCCAAGTCCCGAATTTGGTATATTCTAAGATATGAGGGTTCCCCCTTCAAATACTGGTAGTAACCTTTTCGAACATATCGGTAAAATAATGCCATAGATATAGATTTTCTACCAATCACCCAGGCATCATTATTTTTTGGGTATCGATTACATTCTAATACAATTCGTCGTAATTCGTTAAATGCTGGTTTCCATGGAATTCGTGCAGCTCGATGGAGACGATCACTGTTTTTGTTAGAGTAACGTACACCTCGTCGAATAGCAGGAAGAACAAATTTTCTCAATCTTTCGGAAGATAATTTAAGAGATCTCACCCCAACAATATCAATATCGTATGAAACTTTATGAGGATCAATAAGGTATTCATAAAGAATAGGATCTTCATCCATTAGTGCATCAGTAAAAGGAATTAATGTGGAGAATTTTTGAAGATTAACAGGATGATTCTCAGGTAAATTTTTATCTATGGTAGCAGGCAAAAATACGTAGGAGCCCGGTTTATTTTCTAACTTATTCAGAGGTCTACATATGCTTTGAACAATATCACGGGAACTGTAACGTGGAGCTGCGAAAAAAACAGCATTTAAATCAGGTATCTCTATACCTTCTTGAAATAAACGAACATTAAGTAATAAACAACGTTTTGTTTCAGAAAATTTACGTAAAATATTAGCTACCGCTACACTTCCCATCCTTGAGTGTGCGATAAATACTTTAAATGGTGTAATATCACTAGGATGGGGCTGTTGTAATCGTTCCATTAGTTGCATGGCATGTGCAATACTTCGGCAGTAAACAATCATTTTATTTACAAGTCTCATAGCTTCAAAAAAGTAGGGATTTAAGTCTTCCATACTTTCTCCCAATATTATACGTAATGAAAAAGAGTTAACATAACCAGCATCTATTCCTTCTCGTAAATAGTAACGGAATGCTATTCCTCCAAAAAGATGTGTATTATCCATTTTTATAGGGGTATCATAGGCAGGGGTAGCAGTAAGAAATAATCTGTTTCCTGATCGTGGTTGAAGAAGAACACTATTAAAATTAGTTATTGAAGTACTTCCACATACTCGATGACATTCATCAAATACGGTGAGAGAAAAATTAGTTATGGATGAAACTATAAAAGAAGATTGATATGTACTAATAACAACAACTTGTAAAGAAGAATTTTTAATGGTATGTAAAATTTCTTCAGCATTGGTGGTCATGGTTAAGACGAGGTTATCCTCAAGTGATATAGTTCCCGTATAAGATCCTATAAGAAGATATTTTACATTTTTTAAACCATACGAGTAAAGTTTTCTGACCGTCTGTCGAAGTAAAGTCAGACCAGGCACAAGGTAAAGTATACACGTACTTGGTTTTTTGTTTAAATAATATTGTATAAGTTTATATGCAACAGGTGTTTTTCCACATCTACATGCCATTTGACAGATGGTGGCACCACGATTTTCAAGTTCATGTAGGCAGCGTACCACTGCTTCTTCTTGATATGGTCGAATCTCACTCAACCCAAATGTCTCAGAGTTTAGTAAATCTGGAATATCTAGATCATAACGTATCTGCTCCTCTTCCTCTTCATTATCATCATCATCTTCTTCTCCCCCACCTTTTCCCTTTTCTTTAACAATAGTTCCTTTACAATCTCCCATGAGTGTATGACTACTGTCTATAAGATTGGAAACATGCATAGATTTACGAAGTTTCTCCAGTGTCTCCAAATATCGTCCTAATGTACTTGGCTTCACGACTCCATCACTCCTGCTAGAATTTTCCTTGGTAAGTGATGATGATGATGGTACCAGTGATGATGATAATGATGATGACAATAGTTGCTTCTCATGCATGGCATCTTTTCCAGTTTCGGTATACATGGGTTCAACATTCACCATGACATTGAGGTTTAGCGCATCACAAACACGTTGTGCGCCCTTCACAACCTCTCCGGCATCTCCCTTTATTAACTCACGTTGAGGCACTCGCCTCTCCTTGAAGAGAAAAAGAACCGCTTGCTCTAAAAGAAAAGCTTCCTTTATACTCTCACACTCAAAAACGGCGAAGTATGACCACTCGGGAGTGAAGCAGGTTGTGAAGGAAGCCATTTCAAGACGGCGGGAGAGGTCTGCGGTGCATCCCACCTTCACATAACCCGATCCCCGCAGCCATGGATGCATGGCAATGTAAAAACCATACGCACTCCAGAATACCCTCGTCCGGTGTGCCATTGATATCCCACACCCACACTCACTCTTTTTTTTTTCTTCTTTCTTTCTTTCTTTCCTTCTGCTCCTTTCCCCAATCTCTGGAACAACAGATCCGCCCCAAACGGAGAGGTGGAAGGAGACACACCGTTCCCAGCACTTTTCTTGCAATTAGGAAAACACAGAACGGGTGGGGAGAAAAAAAAAAGATATATATATATATATATATATATATATATATATGTATACATATCGAAAAACAAATAAATCTTTCTTTGTAAAAACACCAGAAAAGAAACCCCCCACCCCACAATGACAAACACAAAGAAAGAAACAAAATAATAATAATAATAATCCTCCGGTCGGGACCACACCAGAAGCAGCTCACAATCATTTCTTTTTTTTTCCTTTGGGACCCTCAGAACTGACATTGCCTTAACTACCCAGAAATGAGAAAAAAGGAGATGGACTTAATCCTTCTCAGGAGATACAATAACTTTTCCTTCAACCTCTTCAAACAGAGAACAAGACGATCCCGTGTCGCTTCGCACCAGGGGCAGTTCCACAGCAGAAATATCGCATGTGTGGGAAAAAAGTGGTACATTCTTTCCCTTCAAAAAAAAATCAGCATCAGCAATAAAAATAGAGAAAAACACAGTATCCTCTATTTGTAAATTCCGACAACAAATCAGAAAATTTTCTAAAAATTTTTTTAATGGCAACAAACCACATTCCTTTTCCCATCGAATTTTCACAAAAGCAAAGGATAATAAAGCACCATAATCACCACACTTGTTACTGCGAATAAACTCCTCACAATCCTTTAAACATACTCCAATAAAGCTTTCTACTTCCTCCTTTTTTGAATTCAGAGAAGTTTTTTTCAGAATACGTTCTCGCGCATCCTCCTTTAATGCGCTAAGCTCCCGTAGAGTTGTTGCGAGCAACGATTTTTTTAAAACCTCTTCCCCAATATCACATGTAACACATTCATCTGTCAAATACTCTAACAAATGAAAAGAAGCAGTTATAGCTGAAAAATAACAATAAAGCATGATAGTTACAGGAAGTTTCTGCAATTTACACTCCTCCAAATATCGGGTGATTTTCTTTAAAGAGTAATGTTTTTCACCAGTACAGAATACAAGAGGGAGAAAACGTCTTTCTTCTGTTGAAATGAAACTGGAGAAATCTCTACTCTTCAATAAACGTAAAAAAGCAGTCAAATCTCCATAGAATGTTCCCACTTGGGAATCTACTAGTACTTCTCCCTGGGCAAGACTTTTCATAATTTTTCCCGCTCTACTATAGGCACCCCTAGCAATATATGACAACACCAACTCAAGTGATGCCATCTGGAACTCAACAGACACCTCTCCATACTGCAGTTTGGCTAATGAAACTGCCAACACGAAAGCCGGGGTAAGTGGGAGAAAATTACTAAATGTCATACTATTTGACCCTCTAATATGATTTACCGCAGCTACAATTTTTTCATATTTTTCCTCTGCACACATAGAGCTATCAGAAGCAATGGAATTGCACAAATGGGTATATTCTCTCTCCTTCTCCCATTGAAGCAATGATGAATTGCTACATCTAAGTTGAGTACCGCCCTTTGTCGTAACCCCACGACGCATCACTGTTTGAACAAAATCTAGCACTACCTTCTGGCGCAAAACTACCCCCAAAAGCGAGCTACGCTCTTCATAACTCAGCATTCCCCTTCCTAAACATTTTTACAGTAGACGAAAATTTATGGAGAAAAAACTAGAATTAAAAAAAAAAAAAAAGAATTCTCTTGATATATGAAGCAAACCTGAAGAAGAAGAAAAAAAAAAAAAGAAACATTGCGTCTCTTCCTCCCAGGAAGAGGGAGAATAATAATAAAAAAAGAAAAACAGAGAAAATGTGCATCTCTCTCATGTTACCATCCTTCACGAGGGAAGCGTAGCCAATTTTTTTTTTTTTTTTTTTTTTACTACCCTCTGAGTACCTAACGTTAACTTTAATTACCTAATATATATATTTTTTTTTTCCTTTTCGTATTTTTTTTCCTTTTTTGTTTGTTTGTTTATGCAGAGTCCGCAGCAGTTTGTGGTTGATGCTCAGCCGAATCCTGAAGATCACCACCTGTGTGTGAAGCAAGGTGTTCCTCATCTGCAGTACCGTTGCTCTCCTTTGCACGGGGTGCATGTCCTACTCGGCATTGAGCGCCATATTGACAAGGCCGTTTTCCGTCGTCTTCATGGAGAAAACGACACGCATCAACAAACTTGCAGCTTCCTTGCAAGTAAAAGCAACAGATTGTCTGTCTCTCCCACTGTCGTTGTGTTTCCAATGAACCACCAACAAAAGGCTTCTTTCGTCGTGCACGAAACCCAAATCCACCCCTTCCTCGGTCGCCAGCCGCGCCCGTATTGTACGCCCCACGTCCGTAGCAAGCAGCAACTCCGCGACCACCAGAGTAAAGGGCTCTTCCGCGGTTGACTTGCCCTGGCACAGGTCCCTGAAATCCCTGAAAAAGTGCCGGGTTGTAGGTCCCCTGCGAATACTGGGGGTAGTAGCCTCCCTGTGAGTACTGGGCAGGAGCAGGGTATTGCTGAGCGGCGTAGCCCGGATGGCTATAGGCATTGTAGCCACCGTACCCACGGTTCTGCACAATCTGTGGTTGACCAAACGGTTGCATGGTCTTACCCGAAAAAAAAAACAAATAGATGCTTATACAAGGAAAAAATATAAAAATGAAATAAAAAGAAAAAAAATAAACCAGAAAAAAAAATATGTCACAGAAGAGAGGTTGGAAAGGAGAAAAAAAAATAGGTAGAAAAGCCAAACATACGAATGCCCCCTTCAGAGAAAGTTTTTTTTTTTTTTTTTATTACCTTTTTCCAGTCCCACAGCTTATTTCCATAACCCATCATCATCGCGTACAATATCGTTATTATTTTGTGCACTCTATGCAAAGATGAGGTGAACCACAAATAGAGCAATCATCTGCAATCTGAAGTCCATTATCACAAGACGGACACAATAAAACATCTGTGGGAAAGTTACGACTATCACAGGATGAGCAAACCCATTCCACAAAACGTGCTCTACACTCATGTTTGTGGTAGGCACGTGATTCACCACAAAAGGTACAGTGGTTTGACCAGCTGTAATTCCAGTGACCACAGACTTGAGTTTTAGATTCCATGGTTGTTATTTTCACAGGAACCTCCCGATGACACCGCCAAACGAAAAAATCACCTGCTACAATATCTCCACGTGGAGCTCCACAGGATGAACAATTAAAACCACACTGCGGAGAAGGAAATTCGCAGCGACTACAGAGAAATGGATTTAACTCATTGTAACAAAGCAAAGCATTACAAAAAGTACAGTGATCCTTATTACCAGAAGTATCTGAACCAGTATACTCAACTCCACACTTATGACAGTGTCGTGGAAGAAATGGTGAGGAAAGAATATTACAATCACGTGGGTGAACATGTTTACAATGTTCACATGTTATCAAACGAAGCTTTTGAGAACCGATAACCACATAGTGTGAACCATGATTATTAGAGACTAATCCACATGAATTGCATGTATAACCCCCACGAATACATGAAAAGCACTGCTCACAACCAATACGACACGGATGATTTCGTGCACCACAACCACAAACCCATGGATTTAGTGGGAAAGTTATACATCCTACCTTACGCTTCGCAGGGCATCGCTGACATTTTGACCACGTCCACTGATTATACTCTTCACACGAATCGCAACGCCAGAGAATAGGTTGTTTGTCTTGGTTTGCAGTGTAACAATGTGGACAACAGATAGATTGCTGACTGTACAACTTTTTACAAAATGAGCATAACCTTAGTGTATATTGCTCTTTAGATACAGTTTCACATTTAGTACACACGTTAAGAGAAGGTACAACATCACCACATTTAGTACATAAATGAATATTCCTCTCTGCAGCTTCGCGCGTCCTTGGATTTACAGAACCACAGAGACATTTACTGTTTACCTCCATAGTTTTATGCTGTGCGCCACATGTAACACATGTCCAAGAAATATTGCATCTACGCAGACAAATTAAGCACTTTTTGGCTGAAGAAGGAAGGTTTGCACCACACCCACAGCACCACCAGAATTCAGCCTTTTTCACAACCTTAAAGTTTTCAAGTAAAAGACGAATAGCTGGATAATTGGCTAGATAAATTCCACTTAAACGCATAGAAGGAAAATAATCTTCTTCAAGATTTCTAATAAGATTCTGTACAAAAGGTGATGCCGCCTCCCCATGAATGGTCCAAATCTCACTTAAGATTGCAATAAGAGCATCTGTAATCCACAAAAAACTAACACTTGGATGTTCTTTCAAAAATTGGTAAAAGTTACGTAAAACGAGAGAAATCTCATCTAAAGTTAGAGAGCCGATAGAACTTACTAAATAACGAGTAAGCTGAGAAAAGGATGCTTTTTCCAACGTTATGGGGTGACCTAGAGAAGCAAAAACATGATAAGCCTCAAAGATCCGTGAGTAACTTTTTTCTTTTGGTTTTAATGTTACAGCAGCCTTGAAAAAAAGCACCCAAATAGAACGTAAATTTTCCACAACACTACCATGAAGTCGAAGAGCGAAGGAGGCGATGTCGACTATGATTATCCACAAGTAAGACGCATCCTCTTTTAAAGCACTTGCATCTACCAGACTACCCATGCAACGAAGAAGATATAAAAGAGGTAGTTTTGCCTCTAATTCTGGTATTACTGTAAGAAGTTTAGAGTGAAGTAATACAAGAGCTTCACCCTGGCATTGTCTCATGTAAATTCGACTCATTTTATTTAATAAAGGAGTCCAATGAACCGATAAAAAATCAAAGGATGATGATTGTATCTTATCAATGATATTGGTTAAAATAAGATTCATCTCATCAAAATGGAGAGGTGAAAAAAAATTATCATTAGATAAAAGACCATTCATAGAAGCATTAAAGAACTCGGGAGTAATTCCATCTTTAAACTTTTCCAATTCACAAGTAACGATACAAGTGAGGATAGATGGAGGCAAAGATCCAGAAAGCAAAATTTGTAGGATATGACAAGGAATGGGGAGTCTAAACTTTTTAAACTCTTCCATGAACTTTCCCTCGTCTACTGAAGAAGTTGAATCTATCAATGACACAACAAGTTTCATGTACATGGTACTAGTTCCACAAGAAGATGTTTGAAAAGGAACATTCTTAAGAACCTCTATTGCACGCCGTACACAATAATACCCATAAACAGATGTACCACTAAATAGACATGCCTCCCTCAGCTCAAGAGAGACATCCGTTGTATTTATTGCTAATAACAATAACGGCCACAAATCATCAGGTACGAGATTGGAGGACATTCCCCCTCGTAGGGCAAAAACAGCAAAAGGATAAAAACTATGGGATAAACCCATGATAGATATACTACTACTATTACTATTACTAGCCCGAGAAATCCCTCGCGAACCATCCAGTAACTCTCGCTCAAAAACCAAACGTTCCTCCGGTACGACCATTGTTTTTTCAAGTAGTGGAAAACGTCTCAAATGATTACGCAATAAGAGTCTCCTCTTCGAGACCCTATTCCATCGCCACATACTACTCTTCCCCTTTGATATTCCATCACAAAATTACCAAGAAGAAGGTAAAAAATAAAAATAAAAACAGAAATCACAGTTATCTCCACCAACACATGTCCTCAAAGTAGATAAACTTTTAATTTCTGAGCCAACCCACCTCACCCTCACACCCCCCCCAAAAAAAAAAAACAGTTATACACATAAAGTAAAGAAAAAAAAAAAAAAGAAGCAAAGAGTGACTTCTAGGTGAAGAGGTTTTTACTTTTTTCATTTAAAAGCCTCAGATTATCCTGTGCCTCTCTTGTATTATAATCTGTTGAAAGCACCTCGATAATATACGGATCAAATGCACTGGAAGCTCTATCCTCACCATATTCTTCGACACTCAATCTATTACAAGTTCCAGAATCAATAAATTTCAACAAATGACACATTGAGGGAAATACCCCCGCTATAACAGCAGCTCTACGATCAGAAACATGTGATATCTCTACAAGCATATCAAGGTAAAGAGCGTGAAAATCGGTGGGGTCACATTTGCGCCTTCCATCTGTGCGAGCAAGTGGGTCACACTCTGTTTGTTGTCTGCAAGCCTTGAATCCGTGAGACACAACAATATCAGCTGCTCGTTCGAGAAAAGGAGCAAAGTCAAATCCAACTAAAAAAGAAGAAAGGGAACTCTCAGCACAGAGTTGCGCCACACCTTCCCAAAAACGCGACTGTCTGGGTCCAGTTGGATGATCAAGCATGACTACATATAGGGGACAACCCATGGCTTGATACATGGCATTAAAATAGTCACGGGCACAATCCTGGCGTAGTAGTAATAGAAAATCACTGCAATTAATAAAATACAAAACCAAATACGGTTTCTCGTTTTTTTTCACAATCACACTACTTGAAACCACATTGTGTTCTTCTCTAACACCGAAAGTCTGGCCTCCACTGCGCTCTAGACTTACTGCACGGGAGACGGCGCAAAACAAACCTTCACAAGCATAATCAATAATTACTTCAACACTCATAAAAGGAACCCAGTCTAACCATATTTGACCCATAAGAAATAATAAAAAAAAAATGAGAAGGAAACCAAAAAAAAAAATAGTAACAATAAGAGAGAAATACAGATCCAAATCCACCACACCCCATCAGCAAATATACACCTATACATACATATATCAGCAAAATGTGCTGAAATTTATTAATCAGATACCACAAACAAAAAAACTCCTCTAGACTCCTTTGCATTCTCTTTGTTTTCACTCAAAGCAAACAAACAAGAACAAAAAAGGGACACATGATCAAAATGTCTGGAAATACAAAAACAACGAAACGTTTTGTTCCCCATATCAGACTACTGTGGACGAGCAAACCAAACAACAGCAGGATGAAAATAAGGTACCAGCACGATATTAATGACAAATTAGATGCGCCCGTTTATGAATCACTTGTGCTTCAACAACAACAACAACAAAAAAAAAAAAAAACACGGCACTCAGTGAGAGTGGACATAGTCAGAAGAGTAGGTCCAATGACTGCGCATTATTCCGTTCATACGTCAAGAAACCATTCTTAAAAAAGAAAGACGCATACAAGAAAAGGACTGCGTTCAACACAAAGCACTAAAAGAAGTCCTCACATATCAAGGTATAAAAACAATATGAGAATACCACTAGGGAGAGACGTACACACTCACAGACAATATATATATATATATATATATAAAAAGAAAGATGCTGAAAAGAGAAACCGTGTACAGAAAATAAAAACTATATATGAAAAGAAACACATACCAAGAGAGAAATTGATAGAGTCCTACTGCATGCATAATACAACCCAAATCCGTCCATTTGATGGTGGTAAAAACCAGGTTAATCCTCTCACTCAATATTATTACTATCGTCCAGAATATTGACTGCTTGTATTGCATCTGCTTCTGTTAGTCCTGTAAATGCATTTGTAACTATAGCATGACGAGCAAAGAAAGCACGATTAGGAGCACCAGCCGGTAGATTAATATCATCCAGGGCCACAAAGTTAACTATATTATATCGATCCTTATTAGCCTCTACCCATGATAATATTTCTACTGATCGTGGTTTACCAGAATAATATGGAGTACAGGCAATAAATGTAGGCATGTTGTGGTTGACTAAGTGTCTAGATACTTCACCACGTCCAAATTCCGTCATTCGCCATGAAGAGCTCAGTACTATCTTTGCACCTGTTTCAGTGATTATGTGTCGAAGAAAGGACATTTGCTTCGGGGCGAACAGTTGCCCACCAAAAGGGGAAATAACACCATCACAGTCAAGAAAAACTATTTTGGTGCCAGACCCTGGTACCTTGTTCACAACCTTCGCATCTTTTGTGCTTCTATCACGGTTCATCGCCCACTAGAAGAAAAAAAAGAAAAGAAAAGAAAGCAAAAAAGAAAAAAAAAGAAGGAGAAACACTACAGAAGAAGAAAAAAAAAAAAAAAGAATTCTTTTCTTTATTCGTTTTTAATCTCATTATTTAACTACATTAAATATCGTTTACAATAGATTAAAATAAAATAAAAAAGAAGAATTAACGCTCAAAACACCCCCGTCAGTTTTCTGACTGTATTTTTTTTTTCTTTTTTTTTTTTTTTTTTTTTTTTCTTCTTTACGCTAGTCTTCCAATAAAAAAAAAAAAAAAAAATGAAAAAAGGGTCGATGGGAAGACGAGATGACATCAACGAAGAGACAGAAAAAAAGAAAAAAAACCTACCATAATTTGGATGAAATAACAAATGTTTATGTAGGTGAATAAAGCTACGCATATGCACACCGAGCAGTTTTCCTCCATGTTGATGTATCTATAAGATTATTTTGATCCCTTAGAAAGGTTCACTCACGGGGTCTCTTAGTTCTAATCTTATTCAAGGGGAGAAAATGCTCGTCTGTAACTTCGCCCGTGGCAAGTTTATGAACATGTAGCACAAGATCATGCGCAATCTGTTCGTTAATACGTGAATCCTGCTTATAATCCGGGTGTTTCATTATATACTCTCTCAGATATTGTGCTGCCGTGGGTATCTCACCTGAAGCACGCATTGAAATAAAACGAAGATAACCCTCAATGATGGAGTTGTGTATATTCTCCTCTTCCATGTAACGACGTACAAGAGGAATCAAGCCATAGTATTCACCCTTTTTCCCATTAAACACCTCATTGACGGTGAACCTGCCATTTTCACTACTGTCACTAGAGATGGTGCCTGCAAAGATGTCACGTCGCATAACATACTTTTGACTACAAGGATTTATATTATGAGCATGACCAATGTTTTCGTCCACTATACTCATTTTTGTGTAAAATTTGGCATTATATCTTATAATGGCCTGAGTAAGAAGAACTACGAAAACTGAAAAAGCAGCATTTTCAAATGGTGTTGGCATTACATCCATTACACGAAACTCTACACGCCATCCAAAGTCACCTTCAAGGGGCGGAGGTTTCAACCTTACAGACTGCCAGTTAGTACTCTGAATATTTTCAAAGTGTTCAGTATGCGTAGTGTCATCAATGTCAATCATTTGATCATACATCACAAGAGGATCACGGATAAAAAGATGAGCTATATGTTTTGCTAAACGAGCATCTATACCAGATTCCGTGAGAGTTTTATAATAAACATCATTTATAGTAAACTCTTCATCATTGAATTCCTCTAAATTTGGTGTGATAGGACTTACAAAAACAGACACAGAATCATACCGTGATTTAATAATTTGTGGTACTTCTTCACGCCTACGATCATCAACTGAAGCTGCAATGGTTAACCATCTAACATCCGAGTCGCATAACATACCTTTCTGAAATGGAGTAGACGAACTTAGAGCGAGAAATAAGGGACATAAAATCGCTAACTGGTCATATATATGACGTGCTTGGTATTCATTTGCTAATTGCATAGTAACCTGTAGGCAGCAGCTACCCATACCAAATGCCATACAATCCATATAAATACATGGATGACTTACTGAAGGAATAGGGCAAGGACATGCCTCATAGCGTCGTTTTACAAGTTCCGCTTGGGTATTTTTAAAGTACTGTGCATAATAATAATGTGTAGCGGGAGTGTAAAGATGCGTCATTGCTTCTTCTGTAGAGTGGTTAGATTCCATTTGAGGTAAATTTATCTCATTCTCAAAACCAAATTTTTTACTTTTGGTTTTCTTTTCTTCCAATACACCACAATCAATTTCTAAATTCTGTGGTCTACGGTCTATATTTAAACGATGGTCCACCGCGTTGTTAAGGGTATTTTTATCAATATATAAAGGTACTTGAATACATACCTTACGTCCTCGTCGAAGACGAATATTTCTTGTAAGATTTGTGAACCGTGGGTGTGATGCGTTGATGCACACATCCGGTACGAACAATGAATGAGAAAAGGGTGTTTCTGTACTCTCGGACGTGGTGAATTGGCCAACTCCCATCAGTGGAAAGGTAACCAACGTGGTGGCGAAGTTGTTATCCCCAGCTTTACTGTCCAAGAGTTGATACCGTCGTCGTATATTACTCTCTACCGAACACAATGAATTTACATCCAATGAGTACGGGTGTCCAGGAACACTTTCTACCATAAAGCTTCCATACTCCGGCCGCCATCCTGCGTTCTCAGTATCACCCATTTGGATAAGTTGTTTCAATACATCGGCAGCGTTTAATGAGAGTCGCACCTTTTTTCCCTCCAATCGTATTAACTGATGTTCAATCTCTTCACCCCATAAGAAAGGGTAATCCGCATTTTTCTCCCTGTGTTTTTGATGCATCGTAAGAAACTGTTTTATACCATGCTCCGAAACGTGTGGAATAGCACGTTCATTCTCATCTGTTCCCCACTGCATGGGTGCACCTCCTGTAGTTAAAAGACCCATCAGTCCCACTACTTATCTCTTCGTGGTCGTTAAAGATTTGGGTGCCAACTGGCTTAATACACCCGTTTAAACTCTTTTGATATGAACTCCTCGTCCGTGTCAACAGTACGTAAATACTGGCATATGTACACATATGTGGGGAACGGCAAGCAAGCAAAGAAGGAGAAAAAAAAAAAATGCAAAAATAAAAATAACATGCTTCACATTCTCCAAAAATTAAAAACACATTCAAAATCATACAAACAAACATATATACATAAACACAAAGAAGAAGAAAAACATATAAAAAAAAAACAATGTACACAAACACGAATAAAGATAATAATAATAATAATAATAATAAAATCATTTACCCTAGTGGAAAACAATAGACATGAGTTCATCATAGGCAGCCTTAACTCTCTTAAACTTTTCCTCTGCCTCTTTTCGTTGTTGTTCTGAAGCTCCACACCACTTGTCTGGATGCCACCGCATTGCCAGAGCACGGTAGCTCTTTGTCACACGTTCTGCACCAGCGCCAACAGGGAGAGAGAGATGTGCATACAACTCCGCTACAACCCGAGAAGAAGAGTTCTTCTCTTTTTCACCTTTTCGTCCATCCTCATGGCCTTTATCAGTCTGAGATCCGTCAAATCCTGATTTATTCCTGTCATGTGTCTTAAAACCTTCTTCATGTGCCTTATGTTGTTGTTCTTCTTGTTGTCGTTTTCGTCGTTGAAATTCCCTCTGTCGATCACATAGCCGTCGCCAAACCACAGCAGCTTCTACTGTGTGCTGCTCCTTTAGTGAGAGCTCAGCACTTCGAACTGCATCAGACCAACGAGAAAGTTTTTCTTCAGACATTGCTTTAATAAGATAAAGCTGAGCACGCTCACTTTTACTTGTACTACTATTTAGAGCAGATTCAATATCATCTATGCATTCATAAAGATGTTTGATCTCGTAAAATGCATGAGCTCGTTTCGCCAAAAGTGTAGCACGAAAACGATCTCCAATAAATGGTCTATTTATTCCTGTGCTGCACAAATCAATGAGACCCATCCAATCCTTGCTAGAGAACAAGCTATCCACATCTTGAGAGAGATTTATACATTGCATTATTCGGTGAGTGGCCTGTCGAAATCGAAGTATGTATTCTGCTGGAACAGTTACGTCAAACAATGGCAAAACCGCATTCAGCTCTTCCCTAGTGGCACTTTCCAGAAAACAAAGTTGTGCACGCCAGTACAAGAGTTCTGGAAAATCAACATATTGTTTAAGACATCTTTCAGCGTACAGTAAAGCTACTTGGTTACCTTCCTCAATAGCAAGTAATTGTACCTTCAGTGACTGAAGAGTGGCACACGGCACACGCATTAGCAAATCATTTAAGTATTTTAAAGCTTCTGCATGTTCATTTCGATCAAAGAAAGAAATATATAGCTCATAGAGAGAAACTTGATTTAATTCCTCTTCAAATGTATACTTACTTGTTTTTCTGTACTTATCAATAATTTCTCGTGCTTCTGAACATCTACCAGTGCAAATATAAGATCGCACCGCCCGTCGGACACCAAGAATGTACTGGTTGTCCAATTCACAACAACGCATTGCATCACGAAGAGATAGTTTAAAATTTTCTATACGTAAGTAGCACGCAGCACGGTTTCCTATTAATGCAGCACTCAACATATTTGGAAGACACGAATTAATCACCTCTGTAAAAGCTTCAGCAGCGACATTAAAATTTCCCTTCTGATAAGCCTCGGTTGCTACTTGACATTTCCGTCGTCGTGCATCGTCCAGAGGCGCAGAATACATGGCCGGATCAATTGCAAAGAGATCTTGCGTTTCATTTGGAAAAGAAGAAGTATCACCAAAGTTGGAACATCTACACTGAGCTGGGGAAGAAGCAGCTATAACAGCGTTAATGTCTTCTAATTGTTGTGTAAGGGAAAAAAACTCATCATCGGTGAGAAGTTTTACTTTAACGCTAGACACAGTGTCACTACGCGAAGGATTAAGTGATTGCTTCTGAAACGCATTGCCTGCCAGTTTTTGACAACGCCATTCATCCACAGCTGCAGCCCAAATGTTACAAATTGATGCATCAAGAAAGCGTACTGCACGGTCATCGTTTGCTAATAATACCTTTGCTGGGTAATTCAACATTCTCTTCACAGGAGAGAAAGAAAGAGGGAAGGGGTACTCTCCTGCAGAGAAATAATGCCTTAGATTAATTACAAAAAAAAAATAAAAAAATAAAAAAAGTAAAAAAAAAAAAAATAAAGATACAAGCCCACAGAAAAACAAAAATAGAGAAAGATAGAAAGAAAAAGGTATATAGATATGGATGCATAAACACATTTATAAAAATAACAACACATCATAAGATGATGTCATTATTTTTTTTTTTTTCTCCGTGTTTAAGAGGGATATCATAAATATAGGATATACCCCCTCTGAAAATGCGCAGGTTATAGCTCAGAATAATACATTGTGATCTCTTTCTCATTGAATCAAATTAAGAGCAACCAGTCGCTGTCTTTCTTTTCTTTTTTTTTTTACTTCTTCTGCTGGGTTCTCTTTTCAGAAAAGTTTCAAAGAATAAGAAACAAGCACACCCCCAGAGGGCTAAAAATAACATACATCTTTCATGTCTCACATTTCATACAAGTGACATCTCAATCCTCTTCTGCCTATGCACGGACAAAGAAGAGTTTATGTGTAACCTTTTCAAAATCGTGATTAAGAGCGTTACAACCGCACAATCTCCACCCACCTTCCTCTTCAATTGCATCAAGAAGCGCAATGAAGAGTTGTGACTGTCCAATATCTTCACTGGCAAACTGTGTATGCAGTTCACCATACCAGTGCGGTGGTTCCTCGCGTCGTACAAAACCGAAAGGAACCTTACCAGTGTTTGTAGTAGTACACGACCCTGGCAACACCTCGTTAAGTTTCTCAATGGTACTCTCCTTTACGGGTCCAATGATGGAAATACTGGGTGGATTGCATGTGACGTTGATGATCAAAATCTTCTCCATCACGTTTTTCTTATCAGTTTTTTTTTTTGTTTATTGTATATACCTGTTTACTCCTTATTTCTTTTTTTTTTCTGTGAAGGGATATAATCTCTAGCGCCAATACCATCATCATCATCAAATAGAAAAGAAAGAAAGAGCAAAAAAAAAAAAAAAACAAGAAAAGCAAAGAGGGAAAAAGAAAAGTATGGAGAGTAAACCTCAAGTGCAAAGAAACCGAGGAAAAGAAAAAGGAGAAAAAGGGAGCAAGAACCTAAAACATATATACAATATAAAACTACAGAAAAAAAAAACTGGCACCAAGTCTTGTACATTGTCAAAGCAAAGGTAAAGAATCATCACTTGTTGCCTTCGCTGCTGCTGCTTCTTGCTGTCGTCGTCTTTCCATCTCTTCTAAGGCCTCACGCTCCAGTTCTTCTTTTGTAGGTTGAACATATGTTCCTTGCATACGTGCTGCAATTTCTGCTAGACTACATTTTTGAGGGAGAAGTGATCGTAGCTGCTGCGCCTCTGCCGGGTTTAACACACTCTCACCATTTGTTGTGACAATTCGAATCAAATCATCTATTGACATTTCGCCAGTATTTTCCTTATCAAAAACTTTCAACGCCGCCCATACATCTTTTTGCTCTGTTGCAGCATCTCGGTAAATTTCTTCTGCACATGATATAAAAATATTCCAATCAATGTTTTTGATTTCCTCCACTGGTACTATCTTCACAGGCTGTTGAGGTGCCTGTCCTTCTGCTGCTTGCACTTCTAGTGCCCGCTCCACGACAGACTTGCGTGGTTTCCTCTGCACAAACGCGGAGGAGGCGCGTCGCTTCTCCCGCATCTCCTCGCGGCGGCGCTCCTTCTCGCGCTTGAGCTCCTCCTCGCGGCGCCACTGTTCGAGCCGCAGAATGGGGTCGGCCATGCGGGCGCGGAGGTGGTCCATGTCGTCCTGCGTGGGGTTCATGCCCATCCCGCGCAGCAGCGTCATGCAGTCGAGGAAGGACACGAGCTTCTCCTTGTTCTCCAGCATGGCGAAGATGGTCTCCGCCTCGTTGTACACTTCGCTCGTCAGCACAGACGGGGGCCGGCGCGTGCGCTCCTCCATCGTGGCCCCAACTGCTTCTCTTTCACCGCTAACACACAAAACAAAAGTAACATAAAATAAAAAAGGGATCCACAGGAATCATACATACACACATATATACACTCAGACATACATTCACACACGTACACTGGAAATAAATCAAAAAAGAAAAAAAAAAAAAAACACAATGACAGATTCAACACATTATTAATAGTTATAGGGAAATTAAATAGTACCCACATACGTTCTTTTTGTGGTTTACCTTTTCTCTTCCCTCAACCCCTCAACCATCGACTAGGAAAGAATGAATTTACCCTCGACACATAAAATCTTATACAATAAAGAAAAAAAAACCAGTAGAGTAACAACTGACGTTCATTACTACTATTAATATATAAATATATACACTAACGTGTAGAAACATGCGTATATAAAGAAAATACCTATTACCTATATATTCACATGCACTTTAATGTTCAGGATCCTTTCTCCTCCATTTCGTAATATATAGACGCATTAAGATTATTTATGTTCTATCCGGTGTCATCGAAAATATGGGGATACTCCTTAACAATACTACTAACCCTTTATACTACAATACTGACATCATCTCTCCCTCCCTCACCGATGAGCTGTCAAAATCTCCTTCATCGCTACCGCTAATGTTGGCTTCCTCCACCATAACGAATTGATGTACAGCGGACTTTCTTTTAGCTTCTATTGCCAATTTATGCCAATCCCATTGTAACATCATAAAATACAATAAAGGAATTTCAAATAGGAATCCAGTAAGAAGACCACCAATGACACCCTTCACCCCCCAGTCAAAGACAAATACATATAAAGCAGAAGATGGCATTCCAACAAGCCATAGTGTTAAAACAACTGCACGTGCTGCCTGTTCAGGTTTACCAGCTCCACGAAACACGCCTTGCAAGCAAAACTGAAGAGAATCCCCCACATGTGCTAAAATCACAAGTGGCATGGTGGACTCAACTGCGCTAACCAATTCAGGAACGTTTGTGTACAGTTGAGCAATGTGACTACCAAAATAAGCCATAGTTAGAGCAGTTAATGCTCCCAGTATGATATCACATACAAGTATAAATTTTGCGTATTGTTGAGCATAAATAGGTCTTCCACCTCCCAAAGCATTACCAACAATGACGCTAGCTGATACACTAAGTCCCAGTGCCACAGAAAACATCATAGATACAATATTCATTGCAACACCAAAAACTGCTAGTGCAAGAGAAGAAATAGCAGCGGCAAAGAAAGATTGAATTTCAAATGCCCACCACTCTGCGCAAACTGCCACTAGTGACGGTATTCCTACCTTCATAAAGTTAATCCAACCCTCCTTTTGATACAACGCCGGTGATGGCCAACGAGCTTCACGGACAACCACCTTGGGATGAAATAGACAAAATAAAATATTAGTAAAGGCAGAAAATGCCACAGTAAATGTTAATGATAAAGCTGCCCCTTCAATTCCCATTGGAGTTAAATAGTAATTTGCTATAGGTGAAGTTAGTGCAGCCACACCATTGGCACAGGCCACAATTTCAGGAAGTCTCTGAGCAAACAATATTTTATTGATGGTTCCAGTTATAATTTGTGAAAGTAAATAAAGTGAACAATTCGCCAGGAACCTGGAACTTCCCTCACCTACAGTGCTTCCGAAAATATACACCATTATACCATTACTGTTTAGAAAAATGAAACTCATAATTATCCAGAATAAAAAATTTATGATAAGAGCTCGTTGTAGTGTTTCTCCAATCACAGGTGAACGCGGATTTTGTCCAAAAGCCTGTGAACATATAGTATCAATTGCAGAACCTAATCCACTAACAATCGACATAGCCATTACATTAAAAACAAGAAGACCAGCGCTGTATTGTGACATACCATCAACTCCAAGATTATTACCAACAAACACCATCGTAATCATCTGTGAAGACATCCATAAAACACTACTAAGGTCTGTTAACAGCACTATTTTTACTGTTTCTCGAAGAAGTTCATAAAGAGAGGCCTTACCATCAAGTGTTTCAAGTGGAAACTCGTTATCTTCTCTTAAAGATTCCTTGCCTATGTTTGGCTGCATTCTTTCTTACTTACTCCTTTCCTTCCTTTATGGATATTTATCAGTCATGTAGAACACAACATAACGCAAAAAAAAAAAAAAAACACGAACATCATTCGGTAACACAGAAAATAAATAAATAAATAAATTAATAAATAAATAAATAAATAAATAAATATATATATATATATATTTAAGATGATAAGATTTTCAACGTATTCTCTACAATACTAAATAAAAGTTATCTTTTCCTTTCCTTTTCATATACATCATCAATAACATCTGATTCCCTCACCCACACACACAATCTATCATCTTGGGTTTTCTCTCTCTCTCTCTCTCTCTCCTTTTCTTTTTCTTATCCCTGTGAAGTCCTTTCTTGCTTCCTCAAAATTGCATTTACATGGATATGCACAACCAGGTCGAAAAAGTACAGGAGAGTAATAACTCACTATGCTACAGAGCCCAATAACAAAGATACAGCAAGACTAGCCTTGGCATCGTTTACAGTACTCAAAACCTCTTCTAATGGCAATGGAATTAGTGAGGTATCTACATTTTCAGGAGGATTTTGAAGCTCTTGAAGTACTTCAGGAGATAATGTTGCGTTGACAGAGCACACCTTGTACGGTGCTGTACCCTCGTTACCCAAAGTATATCTGGATGGACTCAATGCATAAGCCTGGCGGAGGTCAAACCCTAGTGCAGCAAGATGTTCGTCACTCGGTCCTGTAAAAACATTTTCTTCTGTTTCCGTACCACACATAGCTTCTAGTGTGTATTTACATCCAGCAGATACACGGCGTTGACGAACAAGAAGAGCATACCTTGTGTCGTTTACAACAGCAACAGGAAAAAGAATAACAGGAGAATTGTCATGAAGATCAACTGTTTGAATAACTTTTCCACTTTGTGTTTCACACTCAACATCCATGATTACACCAACAACGCGTTGTGCTATACGCCGTATGTTTCGTATCTCAAAGGCAGATGGTACTGGTCCAGACTTGGCACAGGTCTCCACGTAGTTACAGAAAGGAGGATAACCAGCAACTGCTCTTACACTATCCTCACCATCATCACGATAAGTCTTGTGGGTTGTAAGCAATGCTGCTCTCTCACCTATCAACACCTCCATCCCTTATCAAGTAACTTTAGTGTTTCAAAAGAAAAAAAAAAATAGATCACAGAAAAAACAACCCCCACCAAAAAAAAAATATATATATATATATATATATATATATGTATATATATACGTAGAACAGTTCGTGAAGACCAACAAATCATGTTTTTTTATCGTTTATTAAACATTTGTATACGCACTGCAATAACTCTTTTACTTTTCTGTTGTTGTTTTTTCTTCTTCTTATTCATTTCTTTTTCATTCCTTCACCAAAACTCAACACAGAAAGGAGTACCCTCTCTAACGCTAAATTAAACATTTCGACTGCGGTGGCCATGCAACCCCAAACACGCGAGAAGCCGCTGAACTGGTGATGAAAGCATAACAGGGCCCAAGAATGGTACCGATTCTAACACGCGGGCTATCATTGGGAAAAAATTACCAAAGAGGTTTAGGGCACCAAATCCTTGAATAATAAGGCCGGTAAAACAGAAACCTGCAATAATAAGAAGAATTCCTACGAAAAAACACCCAGAGGCACGACGACGAGCAAGAAAAAAGGCTTTAAACCTCTTTGGACCCATCACTAACGCAACACCAGCCACAAAAAGAATATTTCCCATTGTCAGAAGGACACTGTCCAGTAGCATAATAATGCCTAGAAAGGTAAAGAATGCCCCCAGTCCAGTAAGGGCAACACCAATTTTTGTGGAGTCATTCCAGTTGTACAGGGAATCCATCCAGAAACTTGAATCCTAATGCTCCCTTCCTCAATCACCCAATCCAACAGAGGCTCAAACACACAGAGAAGCACACACAAAAGTTGTGAGACCACGTAGGATTAGTAAAAGTAAGAGGAAAAAAAAAAAACTTGAAGAGAAGTATATATATTTTTTTTAATAGAAAAAAGTAAATATAGTAAAGGAATAAAGTCAAAATAGAAAAAAAAAACATGTTCAGAAGGAAAGAAAAAGAAAAAATAAAATAGAGTGTGTTAGTGATACAGATTCAAACCTTGTATCTTCTTCTCTTTATACGGGGCATTATAATTCGACTCTCTCTTTCCTTCTCTTATACACACATACACACATAAATACAAACGTATGTATAAATGTATGCTTGTGTGTCCATATTTTCTTTCCTTTTTTCAGGGGTTATTTACCTCTTTTTTTTTCTTTCTTTTTTTTTTTTTACACGTCATCATCACGTCTGTGACGCTTACGATTCTTTTTATCTTTTTCTTTATTCACGGTAGCCTCCAGTGTGGCACGTCCCACGCCATCGACATTCCTTTGCTTGGCGGCAAAGGCTTGCATACGCTGCTGTCGGAGAGTTTGGTGATATGATGAGAGTGGATTACCGGCATTTTTAAGCTCATCTTCCAATTGTTTCATACCCGCCAAATCGCATGGTCCATTACCCGCCTGATCTCGACGTGCTATGATTTTCTGACTTGTCGTCTGAATGTTGCGAAGAAGCGTGCTTAACTGTGAGTGGATCTTTGGTACCTTGACTTCACCACGTAACCGCTTAAGTGTTGCCTCAACTGCCCAAAAGGCCTCTGGAAAGCCAAGAGTGTGACTGTGTGTTGCCAGGTGTTCTGTGAGAAGATAAAGACACTCACTCCACATATCTCGGTGATAACTTGCAATCCTTGCCTGAGACTTTTTCACACGAATAGTGAAACGCAGATCTACAGACTCAACTTTCTCAGCGGATCCATTTGAATGATGATCAAGGGTAAGACTAGATGAGGTCAGAATACGAAGTAGATAAGGTGCTACAGGAATAAAAACACCATCAGCACGAATAGAAATGTGATTGAGAACTTCAATAATCTGTAAGTGCATAGGGAACATACGAGGAGAAGAAAATAAATCCATAAGGCCAGTTGAAATTTGAACCACAGGGTGAATCAAGGGTCCTAACTGTGCTGCTTCAGAATACTTGGAAACCACAGCGCCCCACGTGCGTAGTGCGTTAAGATATTGCCAGTTAACTACAGCCCGTACATTGCTCTGCGTCTGTTGTTGTAAGGCAGCGCGAAGATAAATAGCTAACTGACGCAAGTATACAAATGTATGTTGATACGCGGCTTCCATATCTGTACCATAGAGATCCACAACACAGTTCATAAGAAAAGCTATCAAAGGAGCGTTTCGAATGTTGTAGTTATGGGCTGTACGCACAAGCGTGAGAAACATACCCTTAAATGCGGTAGACTGATACATAGATCGGGTTCCCGTGGCACGTGTGGCAATAGCGCGAACAACAACATATGCTGCAATTCGTACTGACTCTTCATCTGCGGAACAAAGAGAAAGAGCAGTCTTGAGAACAACTTTTGTTATTCCCTTCATGTAGTGAAGCACTGGTACAAAAGGGGTCAAAGCATGAAGTAGACCTGCAGTCAAAACGGCATCTGAACTACTTTCACTCACACTAACCATGAGGGAAAGTAAAAGGCGTCGCATGAGAAAACGTGTTTTGTGAGATTTAAATGATCCTTTACCAGTGATGACGCTACTCAGGTTGGAGCCAACAAAACGCGCAACACGAAGCATAGATTCCTTTACTAGTGATGGTTCCTCAAACTTTCGTGTGGCACTTGCCTTTGGGTTTTCCTTCACTGCATATCCCAATTCACGAACGGCGCTCACATAGATATCAATACAAGCCTCAATTTTTTTTCCTTTAATTAGGCGATCGAGTTCTTCACGTGTAACTCGTAATACTGCAGTTTCCTTGGTGTCGTTTCCACTAGCATCATCATTGCCATCATCATCATCATCATTCAGTTGTTCCTCATCGTCAACTTCTGTTTCAGCATCACTTCCCTCATCATCCCCAACAATATCAATATCTTCTTTTCCAAACTGTAAAAGTGTAGGGTCCTCATCCTCCAGATAGGAGTAAAATTCTGGATCTGTATCCTTTAGTCTCTCCAATTGTTCCTGATGTTCCCGTTCTTCACGTTGTGCCTCCTTTACCTCACGAACCTTTTTCTTCTCAATACGCTCCAATTTTTCCTTCTTCGCCTTGGCACCTTTACGGCGATTTTCAATCACTGTCGCCAGGTGTTTTTTGGCAAACTTTTTAAACGATTTCTTATCCTTCGTGGCCATCTTTATTTATTCTTTTTTTTTTTCACGTTTATGTATTACGTCTCTAACAAAGCAGCAGCCACACTCCTTCCTTTCCCTTCCTTTTACCCAATATCAAGTAGCACAATGCATAGGCATGCGAAAAAAAAAAAGGGAAAACACTCAAAAAAAAGGTATAACAGCAGTATATATATATATATATATATATATATATATATATAT